CACGTTAATTTCTTTTTAATGCGCAAATTACACATCCGCATCTTTAATTGCCCACTATTACTTTGTTTTCATTTAACCTAGCACTTGAGCTAATTAATTATTATAAAATGTTAAGGTTAAGTATATTTAACTTTACCTAGTCATGGACACCAATTGAGATTCATTGGTTTAGATTCTTGTACTAGCTCAATAGTTAAAGCTGTGCCTGAAGCATGCTCATTAATGCTGACAGGAAAAAACGTCCACCATTTCATCTGAGAACTTTTTTCTTTGGGCTAATCCGTTAGGAAACATGACACAGATAAGAAAAAAAAAAAACTATAAAGTAAAATGTTAAATTCTTATTTAAATATTAAAATATAGAAGATGTGAAGTCAAGGATACTTTCTAAGACAAAAAAGTACAGTGACCTTGTTAATCTTCAATAAAATGTAAATGTTGATATGGATGAATTTTCATATTATATAAAAGTACACATATGCTAGTGAGTGACATTTGCTCACACATTATCTTATGAAATGGCCTTAACAGGGAAATACCCTTTTAAAATTTAATATGAGAAATGTATAAAAGGTAATTATCTAGCACAGTAAAGCTGTCTAAATACTGTGTAGAGTGAAGCCTTGGCTGCATGGTATGTAGTAGATTTTAACACATTTTGAGACTTGCTCATTAAATTCTGAAGAAAAGCTAATATCATGAAAGTATATGTCATATGAGTTATGTAAAGAAGCATACAATATCTTCTAATTTAAAATGGAAAACATGTATACATAACATATTGCAAAACTGCCAAAACATAAACAGCTACAATGCAATGATAGGCATGCCTTTCAATTTGAAAACAAATAAATGTAGTATGGTGTCATAGTTAATTAGGGAAACATGCTTAGCATTAGTTTAGTGCAATCATAAGCGAGAAGGGATTGATTAAAAAATATACTTCTTTATGATAGGAGGAGATTCACAAACTTATAGGGTCTGTTTACATCAGGGGTTTCCAAATGTTCCAAAGAAAGGGTCATTTTAATGTCCTTCAGACTTTGAGGATGGGGGCTGTGCCCAGTGTGAGTAAACAATGCCCAATCTTTGGTATTAGGGGGAGGAAATAGTGCCCCATTGTTGGTGTCAGTGACAAGAACTATGCTCCATTGTTGGTGTCAGTGACAAGAACTATGCTCCATTGTTGGTGTCAGTGGCGGAAATAATGCCTCAAGGGATGGATAAAGGCAAACAAAGGGCTGCATCTGGTCCCAGGGCCACAGTTTGGAGATCGTTGGTTTACACTATTGCTCTGTGCTACTGTGTGGTAGAATAAGCATGTTGCAGCAGTGCATAATACAGAACAAAGCATTGTGCGATGTATTGCAGTGCCATTCATTTTGATGTTTGCCTTGAGTTTAGCTTTAGGTTTATGGCTCTGTACTTGGTATAAATTTAACCTGTCATGATAAAAATTATGGAGACAGATGTTGCTGACTTTTTATGTTGCTAGTTCTCCAGCTGTTATGTCCATCCTGATCTTCACTTTCTAGTGACGCAGAACTACCAAGCGCTCAGTAAAGTCTGAAATGAGGATTTTTAATTTTTTTTTTTGCTTAATGACCCACTAAGAAGAATCAAGAAAGATCAACTAATTAGGCAATGGCAGTATCTTCCTATTTATTCTAGACTTACTATAAAATGGTTCTAAATCCTTACATACGTACATATACCTAGGTGAAGTAACTTGCCCCAGGTGATACACAGAGATAAATCAAATCCTCCTACATAAGTTGTGCTTGTTTATCTGCAGTCTTCTCTTCTCTACATCCATTCAAAGTTCTGCATTTAAAAACCTTGTCTGAGAGTTCAGAAAAAAGAGGGTGGAGAGCCGCAGTTACATTGAGCTCAATTAGGAGAGTTCTGAGAGCTGATTGGAGGGAAGACACACACCCCCCTCCACATACCACACAAGAACAGAGCTGGGGCTGTCAATCAGCTTGAGGTCTCTATGCTGTCACCATTTTGCTCTTGGTGTCAGGAAAACCTGTCAGAAGTAACTCATGCTGACAGCAGAGCAAGGAGGCATCAGACAGAAATGACACTTTGTGCTCTGAAATGAGACAAGTACACACTATAGAGAGACATGCTGTGTTCATATTTACCATCTGAGGTTTACAACCACTTTAAATGTTACACATCTTTTAATGGCCTTGCAGAGTGTTTTAAAAGCTGACTATGGTTTTTAATGTAAGGAAAAATGTTCAACTTGGCCCCAGAAGTTTTAGACAATCAGTGAGAGGCTCATAATGTCTTCAGTCCATTCCAGCTCTAGAGTAAATTTAATCTCCAATGGGTTGAAATTGAATATCACCAATAAGAGGATAAAATTGTTTGCTTTCATCTACATTTTGACCAGTCGTTGTCATTGATTCTGAGCCATTCCTCCTATCACTGCCAACCCACATATTGGTGAGCAACAGATTTTACAGCTTCCTTCCTCCCATAGCTCAAAAGATACTGGAAGGTTAACTTGCTTCTGACTCATTTAGTCTTAGTAAGTATTCCTACTTATCTATAGTAAAAAAAAAATGTTGATCTGCTCTGGGAAGCGATTGAAGGAAATAAAACCCTTTGTAAAATATTTTAAACATGTTATAGCCAATGTTTGAATGTTGTTCTTTCAGCAGCATGTGGCCCCTAATGGTTTGTGCCTATTCTTAAGCCAAGTGTACAATTAAACTAAAGCAGGCACCAAACTGTCTCATGGTTCATAAAGGATACATTATTTGTCCAGTTAAATATTTCAGAAAATATATTCAGGACCTGTTCTCATCATTTAAATATTGTATTTTTTGTTGTAATGTGTTGCAATATTTTTGAAATTTTATTTTTCGTGGTATACATCAGATTTAATGGGATCCCTTTATGAATTCTACACCATTGTTTCAAGCAAAGTAGGGTCTATAGTATCATTCTGATATAGAACTTGCTATACTGCCATATTTCTGAATCATTGCTGTGTGGTAAGTTCCTTATTAAATGTTATCCTGACCTGGCCTAAAAAGTTTGAAACAACAGTGCTACAATGCGCGCACCTTGTGGTTCCTTCAACTACTTGCCCCTTCAAATTTCTTGTGTTCTTTAATTCAAGGTCTAGGCTATAATCTTGAAATCTCTCAACTCCTTCAACTCTGTTAAACTCTCAAATTCCAGAGCCCAGGGTTAGTTAATCTTACATAAAAAAGCCCATGCAGCTATTGAACACCTATAGAAGAAAACAAACTGTGCAGCTTTGATTAAAGTTGGATAATTCCCATTCTATAGGTATAGGACATTTACACACCATATCTCATAAAGCCTGAGTGAAAAACTCATAGAAATGGCACCATCCTGTCCTGAATTGGAATATAGACAACTTTTGTTTTTTGACATCGGAGAGTCCCACTGTCAAAATGCAATGCCCTGGTGGGAGGGATCCCTCCATCCATCTTGCTTGTGTGGATGGAGGAATCTCTTTTTTTTTTTGTTCAGCCCTCTGGCTCAACAAAAAGATGAATAATCAATGCACTTCAGCACTGTTCTCACACTTGACACTTTAAGTGAGATCAGTTCCATTGTGAGATCTCAGAATAATTTCTATATACAGTATTATTTAATTTATTTATTTAGTTTTTCTTTTAATAAGAAGGTTAAACAAATACAGGAAAAGCAAGGCAGCTACATGTACAGAATGAAAATGAATCTTAATATAAGTATCACAGACATGATTGGATATAGTATATGTCTATACTTTTAAGCCTCATGCACATTGAGATTAAAAATGCTGCTTTTACAGGCTTTTAACTTTTTTTTTCAGCCTGTAAAAGCACCTCTATGTTAGCCTATGTGTCCATGCACACATAGGCCTTTCCAGGCTTATTAGAAGAATAAGGCTGAAAAAAACAAACACATCAAAAGTGCATTTGGGATTGGAGCTGACGAGCAGGAAGAAGGTAAATGAGTCTAAACACATCTAAATACTAGATGTGTTTTGGCATGCTTGAGCGCTAATGAACTCCAATGGCTAGTAATAAATTAATATTCTTGCCAATGGAATCAATCAATACTCAAACACTTGATGCGCCTAAATGCACCTAAACACGTGTGCAATACATGGCTTTAGGCAAGTTTTTTTAAGCAGCTTTTCTCCTGCCAGGAATTCTGATATTCAGAAGAGAATAGTAAGCCCCTTGTATGCATGAGGCCTTATAGTTGATCCTCTTTTTACCTAAAATACAATATATTGCCTGCCTTTACACACATGAACTTTAATGGCATCCCAGTCTTAGTCCGTAGGGTTTAATATTTAGTTGGCCAACCCTTTGCAGCTATAACAGCTTCAGCTCTTCTGGGAAGGCTGTTCACAAGGCTTAGGAGTGTGTCTATGGGAATGTTTGACCATTCTTGTAGAAGCACATTTGTGAAGTCAGGCACTGATGTCAGATAAGAAGGACTGGCTCACAGTCTCCGCTCTAATTCATCCCAAAAGTGTTCTATCTGGTTGAGGTCAGGACTCTGTGCAGGCCAGTCAAGTTCCTCCACCCCAAACTCACTCATTCATGTATTTATGGACCTTGCTTTGTGCACCAGTGCGCAGTCATGTTGGAACAGGAAGGGGCCATCCCCAAACTGTTCCCTCAAAATTGGGAGCATTAAATTGTCCAAAATGTCTTGGTATACTGACACCTTAAGAGTTCCCTTCACTGGCACTAAGAGGCCAACCCCAACCCCTGAAAAAAAAAAAAACCCACACCATAATCTCGCCTTCACCAAACTTTACACTTAGCACAATGCAGTCAGGCAAGTACTGTTCTCCTGGCCACTGCCCAACCCAGACATGTCCATCGGATTGTCAAACAGAGAAGCATAAATCGTCACTCCAAAGCACACATTTCCACTGCTCTAGAGTCCAATGGCAGCCTGATTTACACCACTGCATTGCACTTGGTGATGTCAGGCTTGGATGCAGCTGCTCGGCCATGGAAACAAACTCAATGAAGCTCTCTATGCACTGTTGTGCTTATCGTAAGGCCACATGAAGTTTGGAGGTCTTTAGCTATTGACTCTGCAGACAATTGGCAACTTCTCCGCATTGTGCGCTTCAGCATGTGCTGACCCTGCTGTCATTTTATATGGCCAACCACTTTGTAGCTCAGTTGCTGCTGTTCCCAATTGCTTCCACTTTGTTATAACACCACTAACAGTTGACTGTGGAATATTTAGTAGCAAGGAAATTTCACAGATGGACTTATTGCACAGGTGGCAACCTATCACAGTACCACGCTTGAATTCACTGAGCTCCCGAGAGCGACCCATTCTTTCACAAATGTTTGTAGAAGCAGTCTGCATGCCTAGGTGCTTGATTTTATACACCTGTTGCCAGGGAGGTGATTGGAACACTTGAATCCAATTTGAAGGGGTGCTCCAATACTTATGGCTATATAGTGTATTTAGAAAAATGGGACAAAAACATAGACTGTACTGTATTACTGTAACAATTTAGTCTGATGCTGCCAACAAATTGGCTGCAAAAGTGGTCTGATCAGTTATTTTGAAGTATAATGTTTTAATAACTATAACAGATCAGTATAGTATGGTCATTTAGACAGTAATATTGATCAAAAGTACTTTATATGTAACACATGCATTTACTGTACATTTTCTGTGTTGTGTTTGGATAAGTTTTCTGCTTAAGCTAAAGCATAGTCCACAGATCTGAAATATTACCAGAAACTTATACTAAGAGATTACAGAGATTGCCCTTGCACATCTACTTCTGAATTTTCATGTTACTTGGCCACCTCTGACCTCAATACTTTTTAAATCAGTGATTAGAGGAAATTCAAATCTCTTGCCTGCGTACTTATTTTGGAGTTAAAATAAGTATGCAGACAAAGTATTGTGATTTTTGAATTAAAATAGTAGCCAAACAACTAGGAAAGGCAACCTAAAAAATTCCTTACAACAGGTTTCCTTAAAGTGGGACTCCGGAAATTACACACCTTTAAAAAAATATCTGATTTAAAAGGGGTTATGTCCAATGAATTTTATGCCACCTTTTAAATTTACTTTTTTTTAATTTTTACTCATCTCTATGAGTACCGCTATTAATACTATTGGCTCTCTGACAGAAGAAATGTGCTACACGGCAGTTCCACTGCCTACACTGGACATTTAGAGAAAACTTTGTACTTTTGTGAATGGAATCACTTAATGCAAATCCTTCTATGATTATGCAATAGGAGAATTCCATGATTAGGCAAGAGGAGAAGAGAGGCAGGCAGAGTAGCTGAAAATTAATCTGCAGCTCCAAGATCGGAGACCCTGAATATCCAGCATCAGGTTGTTGGAAATATAGTGATAGCTGTACTCCTGGAACTCAGTAAAAAGTTAAATATTAAGAAAGTGAAAAGTTCATAAGGTACCATTTACCCAGTTGGACATAGCCTCTTTTATCCCAGCTGCTGCAATTCCTGGAGTTCTAATTTTAAGAATAATTCAACATAGTAAAGAAATAATTAGAGGAAAATAATGTGCATTTATATCAGATATTGGAACATTCAGAGAACATAAACCAATTGTGACATTTATTTGCTTTGCAAATCCAAGGCAGTTACTCTGGATCCCTGGGTCAAGGTATAGGAAACATACTTTCATGCCCTGTATCCAGAGATCTTTGCTCTGCAAATTGTCAAGCAGATGCACTCTCACTCCTTGTGCCTTTTCATCTGCATTGAGATAGTATTAGGTACTATTAGAGTGCAGGGCATGAAATGTGTCTCTGACCATTTGCAGGAAGAGAATTTGGAGACATGGAGATACATGTAATTGACATCATTATGTTCAGAAGATGAGGACAAGGAATCTAGAGTGCCTTTCTGATTTCTGATTAATTGGATTTGTCTGAATTGCTATTTGCAATTTGCTAAATAACATTAAAAAGGTGGACAACGTATTTTTTTTTTTTTTTTTTAATTGAATGGGAGCTCTTGTCATGTTATCTTGATGTCATCCTCTTTATTTATCCTTATCACTGGTAGAAAAAGCAATGAGAAATCCAACATAACTCCAGGGACAGGAGGTTAGCAGACATTTTCCAATGGGTTAATCTGTCCTTGTGACAACTGTCCAAGAGGGGATATCCCTTCATTGATCAGAGATATCCTCTTACTTCCTCCTGTGTCTCTGGGGCAGAAAGGAAAGATACATCTCCCAAATGGGACACAGAAAAAAAAAAAAATCTAACAGGGGTCTTGACTATTCCCTCCTCTATCCAAAGCTAAAAAAATAACATACTTTAAAGAAAATATACTCCAAAGCAAAATCATTGTGGGATGACCAATTTATTGCTCCTGAACTAGAATGTAGCATTTTATGTGTGCTATGAATGCTTCCATCAGTTGTCTTTCCACTGAATTAATTCATTAATTAATCTTTGTTGGTCCCATTAGGAATACCCTATAAACAGGGAAATAGTTGATTGAATGCTGTAAGTATTTAACCAAGAAAGTAAAGCTGGTCATAAATATATCAGTTTTTGTTTTGGCCACTGGCTGATTGAAAAAAAGTGAATGGGTTACCCCATCCTGACAAGCACAGAGGATGGAGGATCCTTCTCATTGTGTTATTGTAGAGACTGCTCCACTGTCAGGATACACTGACCAGTAGATGTGCATTGCATTACAATTCATTTTTTAAATGAAATTTTCATTTTTGGAGATTCAAATGTATATAAATCTCCAAATGGACTTAGTAACGAACGTTAACAAATCCAAAAAAAGTTATAACAAATGTATTTGTTTCATTTGGATGTTGTCATATGATGCAACAGTTCAATTTGAAAATTTGTTCCATAATTTGGATTTGGATAAAGAATGGATCTGAATTTTGTTCTATTCATTAATTTGAATGCACATGATGCCAGTTTATTTTGTGCAATCAGATCATGCCATTTCTCTTGGTGGGTTGGTTTAGCATCCACAAATATCAAATCCTTCCATTTCAAATCTGTCTAATTTAATAATATATCGATCTTCCGGAAAAACTGCTAAATTTTCAAATCCACCCAGACCAACGAATATATGAAACAAATGCTGAAGATACAAAATTATTCCAAAAATGGATCAGTTCAACATAATGAATATGAAAAAATGAAATTCTTCAATGAATGAATGTATCCGAAGCAAAATGAAAATTTCTTGAGTGCACATGTCTACTGACCAGCGCTGCAGCCAATTGGCTGCAGTGCTGGTCAAAGGAAATTTTTCAAACAGGCCATTTTGAGAGAAGTCAGTTTTGAAATTGACTTCACAGAAACGGCTATAGGTGGATCAAAATTTGGATGGTCCCTTCTGAACTGGCTGAATTTGATTCATCTATGACCTGACCTGCTTAAGAATACAGGTAGTCATATGTATCATAAGATCTAAACAGCAGCTTTACTTGTAACCTTAATAACCAATTTTTAGTTAAAACATTCTATTAGGTTTAGAAGAAATCTCAGTTACTTCATTCTCTTGGAGCTGACCGGGTGTATGAAAGAAAAAAAAACTGAATTCTTCAGTCTATGTAAAATAAAATTAGCTTCTAAATGAATAAACAAATTCAGATGAAATATATCTCCAGGCGGATATCAAAAGCCACAGTTTAATCCAGTTATAGATTAATTAAAAGTCAAAAAATCTATTTTATATTCAGCTACAGGAAAAGACCCAAATCTGTCTTGATATTAGCATCCTGTAATCCTCTGCACAACAACACAGGGACATATTCTTAAAGCAGTGAATGTAGCTTTCACCGAGCATTCAGAGGTAGTGAATCAATTACTGGCATTTAAAATACATGCATCAGGAAGAGCCATGTGCAGTGAATGTTTGATGTCAGATTAGCTGCTTTAGAAATACACCCCTTGGACTTGAAAGAGGGCAACCAAGACAGTCTGAATCTACTAAATTACACAGTCTTGAATATCTAAAAATGTTAGCATTCTGAAATAGAGGTAGCGGACTACTGACATGTGGTACTTCTCCATCATTGTCTAATCTCAGGCTTGAATGAGTTCTAGACCTGGCTGTTTTACTTAACTGCTTCCCATCCACCCTATAGCAGAAATAATGCTACAGGACGGCACGGGTGCACAAAATCACGTATACATACATGATTTTGCGTTTGTAAGCGCTATAACTTTCACATAAACCAATTAATTTGCACGTGTTGCGATTTGTTTTAGCAAAGACATGTGGCAGATTACATTTTGACATAAATTTATGACGAAATTTGATTTTTTTTTTATTTTTTACTGGACATGTTTAATAGCAAAAAGTCAAAAATATTGTTTTTTTTTAAATTTTTGTCAGACTTTTTTTTTATAGCGCAAAAAATAAAAACGCACAGGCAATCAAAAACCACCAAAAGAAAGCTCAATTTGTGGGGAAAAAAGGACATAAATTTAATTTGGGTGCAGTGTTGCATGACTGTGCAATTGTCAGTTAACATAACACAGCGCTGTAACGCAAAAATGGCCTGGTCAGGAAGGGGGGAGGGGGGTAAATCCTTAGGAGGGCAAGTGGTTTACTGATGTATATTCTACTTAATGGTTTCAGGAGGTGAAACCACTGGCTATAAAGTCCGGTACAGTAGTGCCTAGATATTTGAAGTGAATTATGAATCTTTTGAAAGTTAAAACAGTGAGCATATGTGTTTTCATTCAGCTGTTTCCCTGGATTTCAGCTTTAACCAGTTGCCAACCACGCTAAAGCTGAGAGACAGCTACAATGCGGCTGTCTAGTTCTGGGAGGGAGTCTATAGACGTCCTGCCAAATCCCCACCCTCCTGCGTACCCATGGGGTATGCATCAGGCACGCTCTCTGATCTCTGTGTCCTTTGGACAAGGTTGATCACAAATTAAGGTAAAGGGCCAATCACAGCTGCCCTTTACCATGTGATCAGTTGTGTCCAATCACAGCTGATCACATATAAACAAATGTTGGTTATCTGCATTTCCTTTCCTCATCGTTGTCACTGTGGAAGAAGAAGAGAGCCAATAACTGGCGATCCTGTGACAGGGCACATTTACACTGATTATCAGTGCAGCCCCTTCAGTGCCAATCAATGCCCATGAGTGCAGCTTATTAGTGTCCATCAGTGCAGTTTATCAGTGCCCATCAGTGTCACCTATCAGTGACCATTAATGCTGCCTATAAGTGCCCAGCAGTGCAGCCTTATCAGTACCCATCATTGTACCCTATCATTGCCTCATCACCTTGTACCCTATCATTGCCACATCAGTGAAGAAACAAAATTATTTATACGCAAAGTTTTATAGCAAAAAATCTTTTTTTAATCAAAAA